TTTCCCTGTAACATATTCAGCCGCTTCTCGACCTGAGTTTATTTATTTTATTTTATTTTCAGTTAAAGGTTAAGGCTTGGTACGAGATGACTAAATTCAAATAAAATTACCTAGTTTCATAGCATCAACTAAATTATCCACACCAAATTTAACCATAACAGAATCTGTATCACCGTAAATAACTTGAGCATCATGCGTATAGCCATTTTCAATAGTAAATCGACTTTCTACTTCCTGTGCTTATCACAATAGTATCAATAGTATCGTAAATGCTTCATACAATTTAATGTTTACGATGAATAGGTATACAAACCCGCTTGGTTTGTTCAATCATTTGACGTCCGTACGCTGTGACACTTGCTGAAATTTCAAGGCAAGGCATTTGACCTGCTGATGCGCCAGTAAAGCCGTAAACTGAGTTCGCACTCACCTAATAAAACAAAATTCAAAAATGTTTAGTGGTCTGTCATTCATATGTAAAAAGATTCATAATCAGTGTTCAAATTTCAGACTCAAATACTGTTCTCACGAGAACAGTACGATAGCTATAGGCAATGTGCAAATTCAATGTTCTCAATGTTCTTTGAGATCATAATCTCAAAATCTATTATATAGGTGTTCTTGTGAGAACACAATTAAATTTGAATTTCACACAATGACTATAGGTGTTCAAATATTAATAAGAATAATAATAATAGATGAGAACAATTTTGACAGTTCACAAAAAAAATTTTTAATAATGAACAGTAAAAATTTTATACTGTGCACAAATTTATAATAGTTTTCTCACGAGAACTCTAACTTATAACACTGTTCATAATAATAACTAAATACCTTTAAAGCTAACTGACGCCCGTCTAAAACCGCTCTTTTGAAGGGATCCGTCTCATTCTTGAGATCAGCTTTTGCTTTTTTACGTGCAGAAAGTAAATCTTCAAGGATGGAAGGTAAAAGTCCTTTTCGAATTTCTGCTTTTACAAATCGTGCTACAAAATAGCAGAATTATTATAGTATTAAATTAGAGAATACTTGTGGTGATCGGACTACGAGTGGTAAATATGTCACCTGACTGATATGGCGTAATTATATAGTCACTATCATTCTTTAAATTTAAATTATCTATTTCCCTTTGATCTACCATTGTCGTATAACAAAGGTTATGTGCCATCATGATTGATGGATACAGAGAACTAAAATCGAGGGTTGTAATTGGAACATTATAAAATCCTTTCTCTGGATCTATTACAGTTGCCCCTTCAAATGGTTCATCCGTTCCTACAAATAAATGAAGAATGAAGTATAATCAATCCTAATACTATTTCTATTGTATATATATGACAAAAAACAAGATGTACCTTCTACGTTTTTCCTCGCAGGTATAACAAAGTCTTGTTCAATTGCTTTTCTGTATAATTGCGAAATAACCTTAATTTGCTGACCACGAGATAAAAGGTAGTTGAAAGGTACACCAGTTACACGAGCCATTTCCAAGTAATTAATCAGACACATAAGTTTATCCATAAGTCTTTGAGGAAGATAAGCATCCTAGACAATAAATGAATATATGACCAATTGTTTATTAATAGAGTAAGGAAGAGTTAGAATGATAAACTATAGGAATGAACCTTTAAACAATAAATTGCTAAACGACGTCGTGACTCTGGATTCCCATTGTGCAAATCTGTAATAATAGAATGATGGACATCTTCTTTTTGTTCACCTATTCAAAAATTCTAGCATTAATTAGTGTATATAACTAAGAATCTAAATACCTAATTAAATTATATTCACCTAAAAAATGTGCACAGACAGAATTAAGGGTATATGACCTAAGCTTGTGGTCACGTTGCATAACCTGTAACATATCAAATTGAATTCTTCCGTCAATATGTAATGTTAGTCAAGAACATAATATTATTCATAAGATCATGGTAATAACAAGAACTGTTCAATAAAAGGATATTAGTTGCTTTGTTCTCTCTAGTTCCATATGCTTTTGAAGAAAACCTGGTATCCTTGACTTCAACCCTAGTACCTTTAATAAATCACAAATATAATGAATATTTGATCCATTTGATGAAATTAATTTCACCAAATTTCACAGATTCAACGTTAACTTCACTAATAGTGGTGAAATTATTTTACCACTCTAGTCTAATTTCACCAGCATAACCATATAATTACTTTTAATACGACCAAAATACGGAAATCTTGTAACTTTCAAATGATAGGCTCGATCAATTAAATACGGTAAGTCAAAATTCGCGATATTATACCCAATTATAACATCAGGGTCGGCCTATTATAAGTACGTTAGAAATCATTACAATAATGGTTCTATAAAATTACATAAATCTCATACCTCAACGACAAAATCGCACCAAGCCTGTAGCATATTACCTTCATTATAATATTCTAAAACGTCCGTCGCAACAATTGGTGCGCATGAATTTAACGTAAAGACGTTTTTAATAAAGGGATTCTTTTCACCTAAATGTTATTGAATATAACAATAAGAGAAAATAACACACTATATGTATTGAAAATTATTCTATTTATTCAACCTTGAATTGTGACCATGTTGGCAATTTGAATTACTGGATCTTGTGTCGCTTCAGGAAATATTCCTTTGCGCCCAGCACATTCTATGTCAAAACTCAAAATGCGTAATGGAGCAATTTTTAACCAATTTCCTTCGGGAGGATGACTAATTAACTGATCATATCTATCGTTTTTTTTTTTTGAAAAAATTAGATAAATATTGAGGAACGGAAATAATCCATATTTTAAACAATAATACCTTGTAATAACTTCTAGCTGACAATGTGAATATTTTTCAAATTCTGCACAAAAACGATAAGCTTTGGGCGGCAATTCAATCCAATTAGCCCCAGTTACCTTGATAGGTAAATTGTAAAATTTCGACATTAGCACGGATTTCAAATATTATTATACATTATAATTAAATACTAACTTTGCAATCGATCATGAACCGCAAAACATATTTAAGATTACTTTCAAATGTCATTTCCGTGATTTCTCGGCCTTTAAAAGTAAATTTTCCATCCTCAACTATTCGCCTTGCAACATTTAATGTTTTTGTATCGACAAAAGAAAGTTTGAGGAATGGGCACTTTTGCTTCCCGTGATATCCTTGTATAGTTTCTTTAAATTTAACTTCAATCTTATTCAATAATTCTCGTCCGCCCGAAGAAATTTCTTGCTGAAGAGCTAACTAAAAAATAATGATATATTAACAACTTAAAGTCATTGAATTCAATTGCATTTAAATGTTTGATAGTTACTTCAAGACTAGACTTAAATTCAGCAACATCACCACTTTTAAATCCATTCGGGGCCGGGATATAAAAATAAGGTAGAAATCCCTTTACATAACATAAAACACTGTTCCCTGCCTGATAATTTAAAAATAAGTTATTAAACTATTTGATTAATCAATGCAGTCATAATCTCAAAAATACCTCTGTCAATCCAAACATACGAATCATCGGCGATCTAGATGAAGAATAAGGATCAATGGATTCATCGATCTCGATCTGTTGAAATACTGTAAAGTTGTTAATAATCCAACAATAATCTTTAAATATACAAATGTACAAGCCATTCTCGTTACAGTGAACTCTTGATGTAGTAAGGCTAAACTCAAAATCAAATATAAAAAATTATCTACTAATAAATCCTCGACATAATAAATTTTTAACAATTATTTCGCAATCACGGGAGTGACGTACTATATCACGTACTTATTGAGTGCTCTTCTGGATTTATGTACGGAATATTTGGCCGAGCCCAGATTTGGGTTCTTCCTGTTGATTCTTGAGCTTCCATATTTTCCAATATTATGCAAGATTTTATGGGAAATATTCGCGACTTTTCAAGCGAGCATTTGTTTTGATCGTGTAGAGTAACTTTTTTCGTGATTGGTTGATTAAATACTTCTTGTGATTGGCCAGCTGACTATAGAATCCCCTGCTATAATACCCCCTATGAAAAAGGGGGACGTCTAAAGCACCAAAAATTTCAGTCACGTGACAACGATAAAAATTCTTAAAATTCGTTAAGGTTAAGGATTAGTGGTATATTATGGTTAGATTCTAGTGGCGTATATTAGTAAAATCGCTCAAGGAATTTTTTTTGTTAGTGCACTAAAGGTGGTTTCCTATACGAGATTTTGAGTTATAACAGTCAATCAATATGTCACATGTTAGAATTTTTAATAGTGGGTCAAATGATCGACGCACCCAAATTTTATAAGTAAATTTGCTTTCTAGGCTTATTTAACAATAAAGAAGTTGTTGGTTTAATTTCTGAGTAGCATTTCGCAAATTCTCTAGCGCTAGCATTTGAAGGTTCTTATTATGAAATTTTAAGGGCAGTTAAAAATAAAATGGAAAATAATCTTGTACAAGAAGTTAGCCAATTTTTTGACGATTTTTACCATTTGTTTATAAGTGATGGATGTCATTTACCCAAAAAAGGGGGACGTCTAAAGCCGTGTCCAGTCATATGTTTTTGACTATTTGATAAAAATTAGGGTAAGGGTTAGTTGAGGGTTGAGGTTAAGGCAATTCTTATAGTAAAATTGTTCTCCAGACATTTTTTATTAATACTTCGAGGCAGGTTTAGACACTCGATTCTTGTATTCTTGTATTCTTGCGTTTTTCGCTTTTTTTTTCTGTTTTTGTCTCTTCGGGCTGATCCGTTTCGATCAAAGCAAACACCTTAATTGGCTCTGTGCCATGTGATTGGACACGGCTTTTGACGACCCCTAAAAAAGGAAATAATTTATACGTAGCATTTATTTACAATAACTGTCAAAATAAATTTTCGAAAGAGATGAGATGGTAATGATGATAATAAGGGAGGAATTAGCCCTGAGAAATAATATGAGAAGTAACACCCTGAGAAATAACATAAAAAAATTGACCAACTTCGTGTACAAGATTATTTTCCATTTTATTTTTAACTGCCCTTAAAATTTCATAATAAGAACCTTCAAATGCTAAAGAATTTGTGAAATGCTACTCAGAAATTAAACCAACAACTTCTTTATTGTTAACTAAGCCTGAAAAGCAAAATTTGACAAAATTTTACTTAGTAAATTTAGGCGCGTCAATCATTTGCCCATATTAAAAATTTTACTTTCATGATCTGCGTAAAATATTGATCGACTAATAAGCGATTTTTGGCAAAAAATGAACGTTTTTCCTAATCATGCAACATTACACCTGATCTTGAAATCTTATTGGTTTGCGCCACAAAAATATCATATGACTGCAACTTTTTGGTGACAATACTGGAGTTAGTGTTGTACTAGACATTGGACATAGACATTGGACAGTCCAGTCCATTGGACCAAAAAATATTGGACATTGGATATGTATAATATATAAATCAAAAATATAATCATGTAACAAATTGCCAATCAAAAATCTTTTCTAGAAAGTTGTAAAAATATGATAATAATAAATACCGTCTCAGATTTTACCAAATCTAAAATGGATATCTAGTAGCTCACCTACAAAATTTTTTCTAACACATGATTTTTAGCCAATTAGATCAAAAAATCAGCTATAACATAAAATCAAAACAATCGAATAATTAATGTTTTTTATAAACAAAATTTTAAGTTATTAGCGATTTTTGTAAAAAAAACAATAAGTCATAATTTTCATATTACACCTAATTCTTCAATCTAACTGGCACCAGAAAAAATTTTGTGGTTAAACTAGAGGGGTTCTAAAATAGAGGCCAATTATATAATTAACTGCCAATTAAATTATAGAATTTTGATAATTGCTAGTGAAGCAAACCAAAAAATAAAAACCAAAAACCTGTAAAATACAAAAAACAGCAGTCTAAATCTACTTCAAGTAAGTTAATCAAAAATGTTAAGAAGGTAATTTTGCATATATCTAACTACCTAAAACCTATTCTAATCCTAATATAGGATGACCCTAACTATACATACTAACGAAATTATTTTAGATTTTGGGTTATAAAATTAAAATTTGAAGACGAAATTCTTTTTGACTTATTTTACTTAAAAGACAAAATTTTTTGATACTTTTTTTGAAGAGACAAAATTATAAGAAACATAACTATCTAAATTAGATTTGCTATTGCATATAAAAAATTTCAAATTGTTTTAATAGAGACAAAATAGAAGTTTTTTAAAAACCTATTTCAGTAGCATGTATAACCCTAACCCTAAAGTTAATTAAGAACATTATTAAGAAATATAAGTGCTTCTGCTTTAGACTTTCCTCAAATATAAAAATTGATCTACAACATAGTAAAGAATATTCTAAAATTAATTTATATATTAAAACAGCTGGTAGTAGGATTATAAGATAGTTAATAATAAATCTTTAAATTAATTTTGATATAAATGGTTTTATAGACACGTAGTCTAGGGATCTCTTGTGATCTCAGAAGCTTTATAAGGTAGTTGTTTATCAAATCAGTGAACAAATGATGATTGGTATAATTTTAACATTATAGATTAATATAAAATAGCAATAAATTTAAATAGAAGTATCAAGAATTTTTTAATTTTACAAAAAAAAATATGATCTATATTATTCAAATTTAGTAATATTTGAGACTGAAATATATATATATAAAGTAAGCAATAACTAAAAATCATATCTGAATTTAATAATCAAATAATAATAAAATGGTCACTGGCTGCGAAGCAACTAGTATACTATTCTGTTATTATTCGGTCATCAGATCCAGATTTGATTTTTAATTATATTTACTTTATAGATAATAATTGATTTATTCCTAGATTCTTTTTATACTTCTATACAATCTTTTCAAATTAGAAGTGCATATTTTATAAAGTTTAGCTTTCTACAATTATAAAACTTCTTTTATTTCTTTTTAGTTCTTTTTTTCTTTTTTTTTAACTAATAACTTTTACTTTTTATTAAAAATATTAATATTAAAAAAGTAAATAAAATATAAAATCAAAAAGAAATATAAAAACTTCAAATTAGTCTGAATCTGAAATCTGGGCAATAATGTGTGTTATTAAAAGAAAACCTAAAAATTTAAATATAAGTTTTATTTAAATTTTAGGTTTTCTTTTAGCAATACTTAGGGGAGAGACAGAAATTAGCTGATTTTTTAGGGGGGTGGAGGTTTGTAATTCAATCAAGTTTTATATTTTGTAGTTAAATTTAATTGGCTAATATTTGAATCAGGTGAGAGGTATAGCCTCTTAGTAACTTAAAATCACCTAATTTCTGTCCCTCCTCTTAAATATAAAAAAATAGTATAAATAAAAACAAGAAAATAAATAAAATATTTATTAATATTATGGTTAGCATTTATATTAAGATTAAAAATTAGTAGAAATATAATAAAATTAATTAAATAAAACTTTTTGCAGGATTATTTTTATATTTCAGCAATCCTGCTTCTGTTTATTTGAAATTAAGCTATTTAAGAATTATATATTTCTATCTATAGCTATTGCTAATTTAACTAAACTAGAGACTCACTCCTGGCTTTTGCCTAGATGCAACCTGCCTCAATAGTTCTTGGCCTTCCTTCAGATTCTTAACTTACTAAAGATTTATTTTCCTTTAGCCATTGGCTAGCAGCTATCTGATTTGTCAATACTACCTAATTATATTTATATTCTACAACATAATTGCACTTTGACTATAGTCAGTACTTGCAAACAATATAAAACATCGAATTGCTAATCTTAAAGTAAGATTATTATGTTATATATTCTCTATTCTATGCATTTTAAAAATTATGCTACTACTTAATATCTTTTGTGATCTTCTATAGTTAAACCAATTCATCTTTTCATACTTTATTTCCTTATTTTCTACTAGTAGTCTACTTTAGTACTTCAGTCTTCTATTTTCTTTCTTCTTTTTGTGTTTTTTCTAGTTCTTAAAATTCATTTTGCTCTTCTTGCTCTTAATAGTATTCTTTATACTGATTTCTTCTAAAGTATTTATCTGTAGCTCTTTACTTCTTCTAGTTTTTTCAATGCTACTTTAGCTTCTTCTACTTCTAGGTTTTGGTTAGTTTGTCTGAGTTTTCTTTTACTTTTTTATCAGGACTTTGTGTCTTTTTTCTTTCTTTATTCCATAGTCTTATATTTTTTCTAATAAGTTTTTTTCAAATGTTTATATACTTCTCGACTTTTTGGTTTTTCTAAAAACTTTACAACTGTTTTAGATGTAAAATTTTTTTTTCTCTTCTAATTCTTGACTCTTTACACCTGAGTATCTGCCTTTTCTTTCTTATTCCATAGGCTTGCTTTTCTTCTATATGACTTCTTTTACATTTTAAAGTACTTCTCTTAATTTCTAGCTACTTTTTTTACAATTCTTCTTGCTATTCTAAACCTGGTGTCTTTTTTTTTTCTTTTTTAATTCTTGACTTCTATTGTTCTTTCTGTTGCTGCATCTTGTATGATATTTTCTTTATTTGTACTGGTGTTTGTTAATAATCTAATTTGTCTACTTTATTCATTTAATATTTCTTTTTTTTTCTTTTTCAAATCTTTAACGTTATCTTGTCTACTTTCTAATTTACTTGATATATAAACTCTACTATCCACTTTGGTATTTTCCTTGATAGGTTTTTGAATTGTATATTGATATAGTTTTCTCTTTTATTAAGGTTATTGCCAGAATTTTTGGTCTTAATTTTTTAGTTAGTTTGTCTAAAGTTTTTTTTCTCTGTAAGGCCTTCAATATCTTTTTCTGTAATTCTTTTTTTCAATATTTTTTCTTTTTCTTTAGCTTCTTTTTGTCTTTATTCCAAAAGCTTTGCTTTTTATTAAACTTGCATCT